GGAGATACTACTTCTCCGTATCAGGTATAATTCTCTCCTACTCCTTTTGGTTCAGATCTGATTTAGTTTAAGGTTCAAGAATGATCCTTGAAAATATGATTTTCTAAATATGGAATGCGATTCCTAGTTGAAGGGAGAGAAAAATTTTTTGAAATTCGCCCCCTTATTCTGCAATCTTTGGGCATCCATAGGATGGATCTCTCATCCCTTCAGCTTCTGGAAATAGAAGCTACATCCAATCAAATAGTATCACGGCACTCTAATACTACTGTATTTTTCAAGATAAACCCACTCCCAGTTTTAGTTTTATCCATGATCTTTCTTGTCGAGAACTTTTTTTCTGAGGATTGTTCCACTTAATTTCTTAGACAAGTATAGTTTTCTCTCTAGAGGAGGGGCCTGGTGTGCTTTTCAAAGCTCTTGTTGTTTTTGCAATGAGACAAATCAACCTCACAAAGGTGTTTTTTCCTTATTGAATTGCCTTTTCTCTCATTAAATGCTTATGGATATGTGTGCTAGAAAGCTATTTTTTTACCTTAACCATTTTAACTTGTTATCAGATTGAGAGTCGGCCCCTGCATAAAAAGCCTCTGCGTGCATCTGACGTAAGCAATAATGGATCTCCTAAGTAACTATCAAATTTCATTATTCCTAGTGCATGGATAACATTCCTTCCTTTCTTACATGGATAACAAAATGGAGAATTGATTTCATCTCATTATCTGTAGTTGACGTCGTCACACTTCCATGTTGGTTGAATTGTATTTTTTTAATCCAGGTATTTTGACTATCTTATCTATGTGGATTTCGAAGCATCAATGGCTGATCCCAAGTCACAGAATGCCCTTAGGCATCTTAAGGTCTGGTTTCTGTTAATATCATTCATTATTTAAGGATATTTTTATTACACGTAAATGGTTAAAAGGTCCTTCCCTGCAGGAGTTTGCAACATTCCTGTGAGTGCTAGGGAGCTACCCAACAGACACTAGCCTGGCATGACTGTCCTTCAACTTGGTAAGAATCCACAATCTGCAGTTTCAAGTTTGTGTAGGGAAGTAGGGTTTGGTGTTTTACAAGATTAATGGATGAAATATTGAAGATTTATATTCAACCTAAATAAAGAAGGGTGATCAGTGCTTAAGTTTTGGGTTTAAAGAACAAAGGTAAATTTTCCAAGATAATATTGTATCGGGTCTGTGTTCTTTAATGAAATTTTTTCTTTACGATAAGAAATGGGTTTGTGTTCTTAGGATTGAGACTTTACCTAAAGATTAGTACTGTTTTTTCATTGGTATTTTGAAGAAACTAGGATTGTTCTGAGGTTTGTCAAGTGCTGAGTTTCTGAACTAATTTTAAATCAAAGGTAGTTGGAAAATGAGGTTATGTATTCCTTTTTTTATTGTCTTTTATCAACATTCCTTTTTTTATTGTTGTAAGATGAGGTAGTTAGAAGTGCACCTCTACATAGTGAAAGCCAGTTATAATGTAGGTGTGGTTGCAGAATTTGGACAGGTTGATTTGGATAAGGCTTGGGCTTAGAATACTTTGCTAGAACTTGATTGGGTTAAGATTTTTTATCATTATCCCTGTCTCTCTTGGCAAATTTTTAAATTCAAATTAAGTCTTACGTTTAAGACAGTTGGCATGCCATTAAAGTCAATATTCAAATTCGAATTTGAATTTGACATGCCACTAAAATAACTTATTAGAAATCAAAAGTAGGATGGTAATATGATTTGAACCCTAGTCATTAATTTACAATGACCATAAGTTGACCACTAAAATAACTTATTAGTGGATGTTTGTCAATAAATGCTATAGTTGATTATTAAAATTTATAGATTAATAAATATTAACACAGTATTTTGATTTTCTACAAATTAAGCTACACACGAACACAAATTTTAGTTCTTCCATCATTTTTCAACAGTTATCAATTATGTCCCAATAATTCACACTTTATATGAACCATTAGTATGGTTTTTTATGTTTAAATAACTTATTTATAGTCATATAAAACTCATATTTATTGTTATTAATATATTTTTATGATTTATTTGAGTTTCTAGTGTATCCACGCGTATTCAAAGTGTACCCGGACATGGCTCTTAAAATTGCATTTCTGATATACCTTACATTTCTGATACTTTAAACCTGGGTTCAGCCTCTAGACTGGGTTCTAAAACACTGCTAGGTTTATCCCAAGGCTTGATATGGTTTCAAATTAGACTATTAGAGACCTCAGACACCTAGTTTTCCTTTAAAAAGGAGAAAGAAAATGATAATCCATCTAGTTAACATATTGGAATAAGTTTTCCAAAGGTCCATACTCAATTGTTAGTGTTTTGGAATGGTAGAATACTGATATGTTTCATTCTATTGCCAATGGGCATATTTATACAGTAAGCTGCTGCAATAAATAAAAAGAAAGAAAA